ATACAGTATACACCCAAGAGTTCAATCAGTGGCTGAAGAATTCAGATGAAAGAGGACTGGAGTCTTGCTCTCCATCCAATCCCTTCCCACTCATAGCCATGTAGTGTCTCATTCCGATTAAGTCTGGATAAAAGATGAGGATGGCAATCATATATGTATTATATAAACTATATTGCTGGCGAGACAGTGTTCCATTGATGTAGTCTTTTGCGTCTCTCCTCTACGATGAATTGTAAGCCAAGGTTCCAGCTGCAGCTTCCTGATATGTAATGCACTTGAGACCTGAGGTTGGCTTCCGTTTCCTTAACAAATATTTTGTCTTCAAACAGTGTACATGAAAGCGTGTCAAAGCTTATTTGCTTTCTTGATGTTTAACGGCGCACTTAGCAATTTGTGACGGCGGTCTGTAAATAAGCGAGTCATTACTAGACAACCCATTGACTTGCGGATACCAGGTTCATCTATATACGCAGTTGCGTTACGATCATATGCATCAACCAAGTCAGCGAGCCTGATCACCCGACCGCGCTAGTTGCCTCTTACGACAGACATGGATTGCTGATGACCAATTCTAACCCAGATCCTAACGTGTCAAAGACTAATGTGCTGTACCACTCAGACAGGTTCAAAGTTATACAACAGGTTATTCTTGGAACATGTTTTTGTCATTTGGTTGATTATGCATGACATTGTGTAAATTCGTGACTTAACTTAAGCTCAATAGGCAGACATGTTTTCAATAGTGTGACACCCACCAGATAACAGAAATAGAAAATGCAATGTTCTTGCTTCTTAACATTATTAATTAAGAATTATGTAGTGATACATTTTTATATATAATCATACAATCATATATTGTGTACTGTTGTCCATGCAGATAATGGCTCGAATCACAATCCAGTGCAAGAAGATTGATAACTTAAACAGCTTTATTTATTATGATGGTATCCATTATATGCAATCATATATGTATTATAGTGTTGCCATTAAAAGTACAGAGACTCGGTGCTCTTGTTTTTGCTGTTACATGGATTTGTGTGGGAACTCTCATTATTCGAGTCACAGTTCATACTCATACCACACAAATCACGTCAGTGGATATTTCCAGATCAACACATGGCAATCGTGTTGTCATACTGGTTACAGAATCAAGTTAATCAGTTAACCGACTAAAGCTGGTATGAGCTGAACGGCCACCAATGCTAACTCACATGAGTGCATCAAATTCCATTGCACTTTACTTCAGGTATTTACTGGCCACCGATTGGAGTTCCTATCTTCTGGTTAGATACCCTTCACCAAAGGCTAGTCGAAGGTATTGCTGTAATTGATAAACCCAGTGGTTATATTGACAGGAGTCCAGAGAGCGGTATCGTTCAGTGTCAACGCCCTTCTCGTATTCAGTGTTCTACTGAGTCCCACACCTAGAATGGTGGTTATTGATTCCATGACGTCATCGCATCTTCTTGCAAGCCACAGATCATCTTTGATTTGTCAACCGTCCCACTTTTTTGGGTTTCATTAGTGGAAGACAGATGGTATCTGTTTTTCAAAGGGACTAGTCCTTCATCTTAACTACGTGTTTCTTGAGCAGTCCTGACACCTGCCTTCAGCAGGAGACCAGGGCCTAGATTTTCGAAGCTCTCTTAGCCCTAAGATAGTCGTAAATTAATGTTAATGTATGGCACTTACGACTATCTTAGCGTAAAGAGAGCTACGAAAATCTAGGCCCTGGTCTTGAGGACAATAAGGAAAAACAAATGAAAGATTTTTTCCTGCTTTTTATCACTGAATCCTCTATAAATCATGATCGCCACTTCAAATTAGCCATGTTTGTGATGTTTTAGTAGGGATTAAAAACACAAGTCGCGAATAAATATTGCCATGCCTTTTCATCAAATTAATTGGCTGACCAGGGACAAATATGTTTGTTCATAATCCGTTAGGTGAATTTTTAAGCCTGAATACGAAACTTATTGGTATTTTACGTGCGTTTGCTCTTTCGTACATAAAGTTCTAGTTAGCTAATTTACTTTTCTTTACTTCAATGGCCTTTACAAATAGTACAATAAAGTCTGTATAGTGCATTTGGTCATGGATTATCACCCACGGTGATCTCAGGTACGTTTGGAGTGGTAAACGTAAGAGACATGGATCAATTCTGGCATTCCTTCCACAACAAGCTGACACGCATATAACTGCAATACTGTTCAAAGTTAGTATCGCACTTGTAGAAGAACGTGTTGTGTCTCGTCTCTGGTGGATGTTTTGGCGTGAACAACAAGTCCGTCTGAGGGTCCGCAACTGTTTATTCAGTCTTCACTTCTAAGAGTAGGCCAGAACTTCTCTTAGCTCTGGCTCAAATCTAACCTAACCTTATCCATTGCCTGCTCATGCTTATATACCCATTGCTGGTCCTTTGTCCTTAGGGTTGGCAATTGCTGGTCCTTTGTCCTTAGGGTTCGCAATTGTGGTCCTTTGTCCACAGGGTTATCAATTGCTGGTTCCTTGTCCCCACTGGCCAGTGATTTGTCCTCTTCATTTGCTTCCTAAGTCTTAATCGTAATTAGGGGCTCAATTATCACGATTTAATTTCGGGAATTGCCGGCCAAAATATAATTTGCCCGGTGTTCCGCTGGTCAGTGGTTATTGTTCAGTCCACTTACCGGTCCTATTTTTAGTGGGCCAAGCATGTGCCCGATTAACGTGGGGCGGCTGGTCATCGATGTCTGGCCTTTCTATCCACAGTCACCTTTGTGAATATTGTCAAGACAACGGTACCTCACTGACCAGTGCATGTACTTAATTAGTGGGACCAGCTGACCAGCTTTCAACACTATTCTTACCCCGGATACTGTGTTAAACAACACATACGTACCCATACACCTTATAGGAAATCCTTGATATCAGAATGAGTAAGTGGGTGTGAGAGTTTGAGTGAATAGTTTGAAAATATTTCAACACTGTAATCGGGAATTGCTTTGGAATCTAAAATTTCAAATTCAAGTCAGCCGTTTTTCATTGTAAAGAAATCCTAGTACCCTGTATTTTGTTCTTAAATATCACTTGGCAAGCGTCAACAAATCCAGCTCACTTCCGGGTTTCTATAAATAATAATAATAATAAGTCATCTTCTATAGCGCACAGTCTCCAAACACCAAGTGATTGCTCGCGGCGCTTAATCAGAATCTGATTCTAATTACCCCGGATAACCCAAGCTGCCTCTTAGGCGCTAGAAGGTTATAGTCACATGACTTTATCCCACCGGGTACCCATTTTCTGCTGGGTGAACAGAGGCAATTTGAACAAACTCACTTCCCTCAGGTGAGATCACATGCATCACATGTGCTCGTTGTGGGGCAGGACTGAAGTCCTAGAAACACTCAGGAGTCAGGCTGCCAAACACGGTCACCCATCCAAGGATTGTCTGAGCCCAACGTTGCTTAACTTCAACTGATTTGTGACCTGAGCTCTGTGCACAGGACCACGCGCTACCATGATGCATATGATGAATAGAGCTGGAAACTACACTACAAGTTAATACTATCATTTACTTGAGAGTAATGCAACGGGTACTGATGGGTTTTTTTCTGGGTATTTTGGTGAACGTTTTGTGTTAAGAAACTGCTATGGGGAAACACATTCATTCATCATTTGCCATTGACAACAACGGGTAAATGTCACTCGTAAACTGATTTTACAATAATAACTCGTTCGAGATAGTTAATTTGTAAGTTAATGTTTTCAAGTGTAGGTTTACATGGATTCACTCAAACCCTTGACATTTGTGTAGTATGACGATCGAAAATTCTCCACTCAGCTGAGCAAATTCCTTTGCAAAAATAGCCAACGTATTCAACTGAACATCAAGCTTGCATTTCCTGTTTTCACTGAAACACAAGTTTAATGTCATTGTGCAATGAAGTAATTTAAACGTCAGTGACAGATTTATTGGAGGGTAAATCACTTCGCTTGAATCCAGGGTTTGATTAAGTCTTCGTGTCATGGGTAGTGAAAGGCTGTAGTGCAGTTCAAGGAAAACACGCGTTGAATACATTTCTATCTCAGGTACGTTTGGAGTGGTAAACGTCAGAGACCGGCGTCAGTGTGGGCTTTCCTCCCACACCAACCTGACACGTATTTATTGATGTGTTGCTGTTCCCTTTTTTCGGTTTTCGTTTATTAAACCGGCGAGTACAAGACATTTATGACAGAAGTTCCATCTTTTCTCACTATGTGACATACCATTTATGATGTGAACACATGATGACATAACATAACGACATTACATGATGGCATTACATGACGACATTAAACGATGACTTTAAACGATGAAATCCATGATGACATAACATGACGACATTACATGATGACATTACATGACGACATTACATGACGACATTAAACGATTACATTACATGATGACATTACATGACGACATTAACCGATGAAATTCATGATGGCATTACATGATGACTTCACATGATATACTTACACGATTAATTTAAACAAGGACACTACATGATGATACTATACGATGACATTACATGATGACATGACATGGTGAACATCTTACACAATGAAATTATATAATGACATGATGATATTATACACATTAAACTTCACAGCATTCGTGATGACATGATGACATTACTCTAGGCCATATGAAAATACATACGAGATATTTTGCATGCGTGTGTGTATAAGTAATGGTAGAATAGTGATTGTATTAAGTTGGGAGCAGCTTTTTCATTACATTATTTGGGATATTGCACATTAAGCTCACACGCCGTGTTTAAACAGAGCCACATGTTACACCCATCTCAATCTCGGTATCAAGGTTTTAGTTCTGCGACTGTTCTAAGTCAGTGTTAAAGTATGGTTGTGGAACCTGGCCCACGGCTCTGTGGTTTTGCAGCCTTGTATTATTTCATTTTCCCTCCGATGCATCAACGTATGATTTACCTAATGTGGAGCTAACTTCAAAATATTTGTTGCAGATGGTCCACTACAAGGAACATTTTCTTGTGAAGTGTTTGCCACGTTTGACCACGTATTTGCTGGAGGAGCGAACTGGATGTTGGCTATCATTGCTGTAGAGAGGTACATTACATCAAATTGGTCTTGTGGATTTTACGCTTTTATGGTCACGTCCAGTTTCATCTGAGGGGCGGTGGGGTAGCCTAGTGGTTAAAACTTCCGCTCGTCACGCCGAAGACCCGGGTTCGATTCCCCACATGGGTACAATGTGTGAAGCCCATTTCTGGTGATATTGCTGGAATATTGCTTAAAGCGGCGTAAAACCAAGCTCATTCACTCACTCTTTTGAAATCCTAGTTAATTGGACGTTGTTCATTTCGGACAAATAATGTCACCTAAATGTCCTTACATGCGTGTTAGTGTTTCAGTTGAAATTCAATGCCAAATAAATCGTTATTAATTTTGAAATAATACTTGAAAACATGTCGCTAAAAAAACTTAGACTCGATTCCGACCCATTCATATATCATCGTTTTAACAAGACAAATCAGTGCTAATTAAATATCAAGGGCCATGTGTATTGAGCTTGATCATCTTAATTATTTAGGAGACTATTTTATAGCTACACACTTCTCTGTACAGATTTTTGTCCTTTCCTTGAGCCAGTATCCGATGCCTATGGTATACCATGGCTTGCGTGTGTCAATAATTTAAAAAAAGGTGTACAACCTTTATCACTGGAGTTGACATGACGTGATATACCTGAAATACACTTTCTTTATAAAATCCTATAATCTGTAAACAAAACACCGTTTAAAATGGTAACGCGAAATACAACTGTATATATACTATCCCAAAAAAGAAACGCATAGGCCTTTTGTATTTTTTAAAAATATATTAATTACCTATTGTGTTCAAACAATCGTCAAAATATGTAACAAAAGTGTTGATAACATGTTTTTACACAAATGCACAAGTGAAAAGTCGACTTTACCTGAAAATGTTGATTTTGATGAGATTTCTTACAAGAATCAAAAAGGCATCGCCTCAAAGCAATAGAAATCACCTTCCAATTGAAATTGTGCAGCAAAGAGCATGCACTGTCTGGCTATAAAAATCCAGATTACTTTCGGAAATCGGCATCCGTTTTGAAGGAGTTTCAAGGTCAAATCACTACGCCAAGTCTTGACGCTGCGACACGGTACATCGCCATTGAAAGAATGCACGCTGGAGATTACCAATTTTGCTGTTGCCAGGCGTCTGAATGTTAGTCTGAGCACGATATCACAGCTTGCAGCTCGATACAACCAAACAGGTATAAAAAAATGACCATCCCCGTACAGGCAGACCTCGAGTCACCACTGCAGCCCAAGATCGGTACATCCGGGTACTACATTTGCGTGATCGTACTGCCACGTGTGAGAGCACAGCAGCCAAGGTGCCTGGACTTCGGAGAGATTGGACTCAGAGCCAGGAGATCCGACGTCGGGACCATGTTACGTGGTCACCATCGCGCTCAACGTCTCCTTTATCTAAAATTATCCACTTGCTTGTATAGACATTACCTTTTTCTAGCTGATGGGAAAATTGATTTCTTAAAATCTGTTTGTGGACGAGTTATACATGTTTGAAAATACAACATTTTCGCAACAGATTTCTGGGTTATGCGTTTCTTTTTTGGGATAGTATATATGGTTACATCGAATATTGATTTCTCCACTAACTTGGGGGAACCAACTGCAAACATTATGCAGAAGAATTGCATGAGGATCAAACATCAAATTGCTGAAAAGCATGTGCAAATATCGTGCATGTGAACAGCTGCGTTTTGGTGTAAAGTTTTGTTAAGAATTCGCCAATTTTCACTGATTTTTATCATTTATTGAACTTATGACGATAATCTTTTCAACGTTACGAATTTGTTTTACAATTCATCAGTTCATGTGTGAACAGTACCTTTAAACAGTATGGAATATTTTGCAAAGTTTAGTTTAGAACAGTTGCCTGAAGTAAGTAACAACATTTACACTAGTGAGTCTAAACTTTTTGAAAGGAAGTATACATCAGTTTCTCACAAAAGGGCAACAAGGTAGCCTACAGCGGTGGTACCTCGCGCCAACGACCCGCGGTCTATCGCTCTCGAAGTTTGAGAGAGTAGGGTGTCCCAGTGGTTAAATATGAGTACAATGTCTAATGCCCATTTCTTGAGTCTCCCACCGTCTTGTATTCTTAAAATGAACACACAGTCAATGTGTTAAGACTATGTCTGGTGATGTGTTTACAGATATCTTTTCGTACGGGCACCTGCTGAGCATTCATCCACATTCTCCGTCCGCAACCTGAAGATCCTCGCAGCGGGCTTGTACATCTTACAAATCATGATGGCGGTGGGGCCCTTCTATGGACTGGGTGAATATTCTGTGTTCCGGGGTGAGTAACGGAATTACCGTATAATTCCTGTAAATGCTCATGTTTTGTTTACGAATGTATATTTGGATGAACCCTGCACTAGGCAATAATCCTGATACGTGTTTATGACGGTGATCGGTAAATATTGAATGTGTGAGTCAGTGAATTTAGTTTTACGCCGCTTTTAGCAATATGCCAGCCATACCACGGCGAGGGACACCAGAAATGGGCTTCTCATGTGGGGAATGGGCTACTCATGTGGGGAATCGAACCCGGGTCTTCGGTGGGACGAGCGAACGCTTTAACCACTGGGCTACCCGCCCCCATTTGAATGTGTACTGGAGACTCCATGATCATAAGCAGCATCCCACATCGTTGGTTTACGTTGACGAGCTTCAACCAAGGGAACCAGATCACCAGATCCTCTTAGCCGCCTCTTACACAGGTTATAAGAAAAGAAACCTACATTTCGAACAATAAATAAATCCTTGAAATAACAAGAACATTCGGTATAAAAGTAATTATTCATCGTGCCAAGACATTAGGCTTTCATACCTGTCAAGCTGCGCATTATTGTATAAAAGGTATGTGCGTGAGATGGTTAATCGGTGAATATTTTATCACATGAACACAATCATATATTTTATACTTAGCGTTTTACCTTTACACCTTTTAAATGATACGCGCTGTAAAACACATTGCATGATAGCCGAAGAACTTGTCGCCGCAAAATTTGTAAATTTAAATCAGAATATACATTGAGGACTGTTTTCAATCAAGTGTAATGTCAAATATACAGCGAGTTTTGATATTACTCTGTATTACAGATCTAGAGATTCACCCTAATTGCGGTCTGGGGATTTATGTTTTGCCGTGTCCTATCTTGGGTTTCACCAAAGTGGTGTACGTTTCAGATCTACATCACTTCGGGGTTTCCTCCCACTGTAAGATGCTGGAATACTGTCAAACGCGACGTCAAACTCACTCACTCACTCTGGGTTAGAATTGTTCTTCAGTAACCCATGCTTGTCGTAGGAGGCGACTTACGGGATCGGGTGGTCAGGCTCGCTGACTTGGTTGACACACGTCATCGTATCCCAACCGTTGCTTTTGATGTCTATCTCTAGATTGTCAGATCCCAATTGCGTAGACCGATGCTCATGATATTGATCACTGGATTGTCTGGTCCAGACTCAAATATTTACAGCCCGATGCCATATATCTCGAAGTATGCTGAGTGCGGCGTTAAATATCAACAAACAAACAAACAAACATAGAACCTTACTGTGTGTTAAGCTCGTGTCTGCCAGCATTTCAGCTGGTTCGGTTTTTGAATGACACTCCAAGTCGAGTTTCGGGACTGAAGCTATGTATATGAAGTGTACTATGCAATAAGAAAGAATGCAAAAATCCCCAATTAAATTCATTATACCTCACTTCGTGTTACTTTGAATCCCTACGATTTCACCTTAAACCTATTCCAGTGGCGATGTAACCCAATAGACAGGTACTTTGTACCACCTCAAAGCGCAATTATTTAGATATCGATTTTCAAACTTTTCGCAATAAATCGTTTTCATGCTCACACAAATACACACAAGTGAATTTGATACCTGTCAGCAGTCTTCCGTGAATTTGATTCTTAACAGCCTGATGAACTGCTTAGTAGCCTCTGCCTAATGGTTCACCAGAGACATCGGGCGCCCGGCGATCCAATTACTATCACATCTCGACTGGAATTCGGCATTCTAAATTGCATGACGCTAAAGCATTTAGCGTTTTAATCTGGTTAAAAATAAAGTTCAGAGCGTGTAAACATCACTTTTAACAAGTATCATAAACTTTTTATCGTTCAAAACAACGTACAAATGGATCTGACGGACCATGAATGCAATTTCTCAACATATTTGGATAACTGCAGAAGGTTTTTCTGAGAGGAGGATGAACCTATCGAATCATAAATCATTTCTAAATGGCGCCTGTTTCAGTAACAGGTATGTCTATGCACAATATAGACTACAAAGAATCTTTTACATGATATAATTTCTAATTTCTCTTTCTAGTCGGGTTCGGTAGGGTAGCCTAGTTGTTAAAGCGTTCGCTCGTCACGCCGAAGACCCGGGTTCGATTTCCTTCGATGTGTGAAGCCCATTTCTGGCATCCCTCGCCGTGATATTGCTGGAATACTTCACTCATTCACATAAAACTTCACTCACTCTTTCGAGTCGGTAGGACCAAGTTGGCACTGCCAGCTATTTACATGTAGCCCATATTGGATTTCGTTGTATGTACTAGTTCAGGGACATATTCTTGGTGATGGGAGGGAAATAATCTGCGACTTCTGGTATACGTTTGGCCTTGAGGTTTTGGGTTGGTTCATCTGGTTCAAACTTGATGATTTACTTACCTAGGATATTAAGACTTCAAGAGGTTTAAACTCAGCTATGTCGGGGAATTGATCGACAGTGTATATCACATCAGAAAGGTTGGTTGGTTGTTGTTTAACGCCGCACTCAGCAGTATTCCAGCAATATGGCGGCGGTCTGTAAATAATCGAATCTACGCCCATGCGCATAGATCTACGCAACTGGGATACGACGACATGTGATAACCAAGTCAGCGAGCCCGACCACCCGATCCCGTTAGTCACCTCTTCCGACGAGCATGGGTTACTGAAGACCAATTCTAACCCGGATCTTCACGGATTCATATTAGACAGGAAATACATTATATTGAATGATCGAAGATGATTCTATGATTTATATTGATTATTCAGGTACGATCGTTCTCTCAGTAAGCATCTTTTTATAGCAATTTAAGGGGTTTGTTTTCATTTGTCTTCCATGACTTTGGGTCTCTTTTCACGTGGCGTGTGATATTGTCAGACGTTTACGTTTACATTAGACTAAAATATTGGTTTACAATAATTGTTTTGTTTTGGTGAAACCTAACGCCAAATATACGTATGGCCTGACTTGGAATGTAAACATTCTTCATTCACAGGAAAGCTGTCACTATTTGTAACGCTGAACGCCTCATCAGTGCCAGCCGACGACGAAAAATGCACGCTGGAGACGTTGATGTCGACGTTGCGAGGGACGTACTTCAAGCTGATGCCGAAACACGTTCCTGACCCTGTATTCGTCTCGACTCACTACCTCTCGTCAGTCTTTCACGTGATTGTCGCGCGATCTCGCTGGGTTGATGATGGAATGTTGTTTCTAATGCGCATGCCCAACACGACAGTAATGGATTCATTCTGGGAGGAATATACATCCGGGTCTGTGTGTGAGACGATAAGTACGATTGTGTACTCGAAACCTGTGGTCGAAATCCTTGGTCCGCACATCCCGGAAGTAGTTTGTGTGATGAACCCTAGTGATTATTCCATGTTGAGGAACAGTTATCTCCCTTCACAAGGTATGTAGACATATTTGTATTAGAGAGTAAATCATGTTTTTTCACCTTGAGCCCACTCCGGAACTGCTTTCTAACCATTTAATTCATAAATTCTTCTGTTTATTGATTTGACTTCCTGGTATCATTGTTTTTTGTCAGAGCCGGGATATATAGAGAATCTCACCTAAGTGTCTTTTGATATCAAATATATCACCACGAGTTGATAAAGTTACAAATATCCGACTCTTGTCGAGGATATTTTTACTTTTATCAACGAGTGTTGATATATTTGATATCAGAAAACATGAGGGTGAGATTCTATTAATCATAAAAAATCACTCTCCATGAGTTTTCAATGAAAAATGTACATCTCTGAACACAGTTCTGCCATTATACTTGCAGTGCAGCGATGTCATAGCATTGTGACGTCATCAAGTTCATGACGTCATAGCATTGTCAGGGCAATGTACAGAGTCTACTGTCAAAGGAGATATCGTTTGATCTCATACAAGCGATATCTCTTGTGGAACACAGTTTTGGATGATGAATAGTCCTCAAAAACAGTAGGGGAACCTGAACTTTCAATTTGGATAGGAAGTATAGCGTTAACAAACTTTCCAAAGACAGACAGCTTATTTACGCACCATCATTTCTCGTTATTTAGTATTTGTTTCTAGCCGGGTTTATTTGTGTGTGTGGTTTTTTTTAAAATGAAAATCGTACACCAATCATCTTTCAAGAGCGATTACTGTACAAACAGCTATGGTCCTAAGGAAGTGCAAGTGGTGATGCACTCTCAAAACATTCATTATTATCATAGCAACATTGGTTGACTCCGATATATCTCCTAATGTTTTCAATTGTACATTAAAAATGAAGTTCCAATCTTTTTTTAAGGAGTATATTTCCTGTCACTCTTTCTTTTCACATGCTCTCCTCCTTATTTCCTCCCTGACAGTTGTAGGTGCTACATCCTAGCACATATGTTTATACTTTGCCCAAATAAGTGGACTTATTTTCATCGATCCACTATGTAAAGTTCACTATTTTCCTGTTTTGCCTAAGGGAATCTGTTCTTGCAGAGGCTGACATTTCTCTGGGTACAATGTGTAAAGCCCATTTCTGGTGTCCCCCCGCCGTGATATTGCAGGAATATTGCTAAAAGCGGCTCACCATACTTACTCACTCACTCTGGTTTGGGCATTTCGATTTCCTTTCAGGAAACAGTAATATCTCATTCAAGGCAGATCTCAGAGCTCGCTTTCGGTGCTCAAAGGTCTGAGGTCGTCCATTTGCAAGTCACGTCAGAATGACCTTGTAAACGCGAACCTTGCATGTTGCGAACTTTGACCGACTGGTGAAATATCAACCAATCAGAAAGCAGATTTCTCGAGCTTGACGACACCAGTTTCAAACTGTTGACATTTATTCTTGAGGCCAAAGACCTGTTTTTATGAGACTGTGGAAGGAGAAGGCGTTATTTTCAGTTCGACAGCTCAAATATTTCAGGACATCCAGCACGTTTAGTGAATAACTATATTTGGCCACATAAGCTTCTTTCGTCATATTTTGGCACAATTGGCATTTTTAAGAAGTCGCTCAAACAATACAATGCGGTCCCTTTAGCAAAAAAACAGTACTTACACAAACCTTTCTACATAAAGGCTCGAGGCAAGAAGGTAATCTATGATGACTTAATAGATTTATTAAACGGCAACGTATACGATGATATTGTTTTTGTCGTTGTCTGCGTTCTGAGAACCAAAGAAGTAGAAACTTGGCATTCTTGTCTTTTCTAAAAATGTCGTTTCTTAGTATTCATAGTATGTGTGTAGTTCGTAATTCCGTCCGACATGTGGTTTTGCCATGTACTGAATACTGATCTTACTTAACTTAATCTGTCCAGTTTAATTTTGAACTTTTGAACATGACTTTACTGAAGAAGTCGACATTTTGTGTGCCTGCTTCGTCAGTGATTTGCTTTCATCCTTGTGTTTTACTGTTCGTTTAATGGTTTGAACATGTGTACATTAATGCTCAAGGTTTTAATGTTTCTTCTAAAATGTCACAAGCTATACGAAAGGAATTCAAATGTATGTGAAATGCCTACATGTGGATAGGTTAATGACAGTCTGTTTTTTTATTTCAAAGTCTATATTACTTTGCACGAAAAAGTTGAAGCTTAAGATCATTAAAGTCCCCATAAGATTAAACCTCTTTGTTCTAAATACATTAAACGGAGTAAGTAAAAATATATTTATCTCAGATAGTCTATTAGTCTGTGTTTTGAAACTTGGAAAGAGATTAAATGTCTTTGCAACAATGTTATACCAACAATTTAACTACTTTGGGTCTGATTTTGCAAAAATTAAGCAACGGATTACTCATCGAAATGAGCTTCAACATGCCATAGGACATTCTTTATGTACATGTTTGTAGTTCAAGTTTCTCCTTGCACTGAAGCTCTTAAAGGGATGATAAGAATGTAACACAATATGCGTGAGCATCTGATGTTGCATTGGTTGGTACATCTGAATTTATATAGTATGTGCTGGAATTATCCTCGACTCAGCCCCAAATAAAATAAAATAATGTCCACGTAATGTGCAAGAGCAGAGTGAGTAAGTATGGTTTTACGTCACTTTTAGCAATATTCTAGCAATATGAAGGCGGGGGACACCAGAAATGTGCTTCACACATCGTACCCATGTAGGAAATCGAACCCGGGTCTTCGGCGAGGCGAGAGAACCACAAGCAGAGAAACAGGCGAGGAGGGTGGGGACATTTTTGTTTTAGTTTAAGGGCGAAAGGAAACATGAGTATGTTTATGTTCGATAGTGCGCATTCAAAATTACATCGTAAATTAGATTGTGTCAATCAGAGTGTCGCCTATATAAAAGATGAGTCTATGCGTACCTCTACAATACATACATCGTATCCAAAGTGCGTAGATCGATACTCATGCTGTTGATCACCGGATTGTCTGACCCAAATTCAATTATTTATAGATATAGCTGGAATACTGCCGCGTGCGTCGACAAACAACACACTCACAAGGGTAACCCTCATTTGCAGGACAATAAACCTAATGGGGGTCTACTGTTCAGTATTCAGACAATCGCAGGCTTTCATTACGAATGCGACCAACAAATCTCCATCTTTGTTTTACGGCCGTAGATTGAACAACTTACCGTTGTTCCCACGAGACGAGAGTTGGGACCACAACTTCCAGCTTATCAATGCTGTTAATTATGTCCTCAAGTAGTTTGGTACCATTCGACACAAAGTGCCATAGGTGCCAATTCTACCTTAATTATATACAACTACTGTGCATTATTGATAGAGCCCCAGGTAATATACCGCCACTGTTCCGGTCAGTATTGCGACGAGAAATGATTTGCTTAACCCGAATCTGAGATATTTGATCACTTTGGTCGTGCCCTCCGGCTAATTCCGTTGGACCTCGGGTTACAGCGGAATTCTAATATTACAGTGAGACTGTATGGCTTTACGCCGCAATATTCCATGAACAGCACACAGGGGGACATCAGAAATGTACTTCATGCATTGCACCCATGTGGGAAATCGAACCCGGGTCGTCAGTTTGACGAGCGAACGCCTTAACCTCTAGGCTAACATATCATTCTCTAAGATGAATTTGGGGCGGTGGGGTAGCCTAGTGGTTAAAGCGTTGGCTCGTCACGCCGAAGACCCGGGTTCGATTCCCCATATGGGCACAATGTGTTAAGCCCATTTCTGGTGTCCCCCGCCGTGATATTGCTGGAATATTGCTAAAAGCGGCGTAAAACTAAACTCAGTCAGTCTAAGATGAATTAGTTCAAATTTGAACCACGCTGTTCATCACAAACATTAGAACCAGTGAAGATCCGGGTTAGAATTGATCTTCAGTAAGCTATGCTTGTCGTAAGAGGCGACTAATGGGATCGGGTGGTCAGAGTCGCTGATTTGGTTAACACATGTCATCGTATCTCAACTGAGTAGATCGATGCTCACGCTGTTGATCACTGGATTGCCTGGTCAACACTCTATTAGTTACAGAACGCTGCCATATAGCTGTAATATTGCTGAGTGCGGCGTACAACTGAACTTACTCACTCACTCACAAACATTAGATTTCAAAATAACAAACCAAAATCGTTTGGTTAAGCAGACCGCCGCCGTATAGGTTGATAAGGTAAATAAAAGCATTAATGCTTTAAGCACGCATTTAATAGCTGCACTCACACATCATGTTGCCGTCCAGACAAATAAATATACACAAGCTAGTAGAACTAAAAGGTCTGATACAAAGCTGATCCAATCTATCGCCTGAACGATTACTATAAACCGATGGAGTACATACATGAGCAACTAATATACAACGCGTCGACCCTTCCATCTGGACCTCTTCAATAGATTTTCATATGTTGTCTCATCTCAACACATTTTGAATTTGAAGCCATGAAATCTTTCGCAACATCATCAAACCTCTCCTGACAATCTCATATTTTCTTGAACTGGTGTATAGTTACAAGCTCCAATTTGTGTTTGACCACCTACGGTAGTGAGTGTCTAATAATGGGATTAAGGAACCGGGGAAAACGGTCAGCTTCAATTTCCTGTAGACATGTTGCTGCTGGGAGGGGAGAAGGTCATGGAACTAACGGGAGGATCTCGGGGAGGGGACTGATTACTTCGACATGATTGGATTAGGAACCTGCTGATAGAAAACAGGGAGAGTTATTAGTAATTGTGATAAACACTATATCAAGGAGTATTTGAGAATGATAATATACTCGTATCACACGTTTTGTGGATATTTACATGGCTGTTTGGTATATGTGCATTGCAGCTCTTACTCCGTATGATTTCTTGTCCACTGCTCGAAAATATTACAACAATAACAATAACTACGACGACGATGATGATGATGGATGTGATAGTGGTGATGATGATAATGACGAGGGCGGTGGCTGGGGGGTAGTGGTTGTGGTAATGATGATGATAATAATGATCAGGAT